TTATTTTATGGTCTATGCTAAAGGAGCTAATATTTTCAAATATTTTTGCGCCAAAACTATATTGGAAATTAAAACTTTCTAAATATATCTGTTAAAATAACGTTCACGTCAGAAGTTACGTCATGTTTTCCATAACATTTATTTGTTTCTCTTACTTATCATCATGTTCTGAAAACAAATAACACGTTTTAGTGAAGTAATTCCGTTTAAAAATTAATAGTCCTCTAAAATTTTGATTATTTCACGATAAAAAGCTTGTCATTTAATTTTTTTAAATAATTTTGCTAGAAAGGGAGCCAATTGTTCAGAAAGTTCATTGACTTCTCTAGCCGACTTGAAACATGGGCGAGACATCTGCCACTTGATTTTTATAGTCTGTTAGGCCTTTAAACTTTCAAAAAAAATATTTCAACGAAAAAATCGTGTTAACGTACAAGATGATTTATCACATTTTTTGTAAATGACGCAAGAATTTTGGTCTCCAAAATGGAGACGAAATGATTTACATAGAACAGAAAATTTAGCTTTATTTACAGTGAAAAACCAAACAGCATACTTGTAGTCTGGTGTGAAATTAGCTTGAACAAAATGTAGTAATTAACGTACAGTATTTTCATTTCTTTTTTATATTTATAGCAAAGCTACTAAGGCTATCTGTTGCCTTCCCTAATTTTGAATTACTGACCTGGGAGAAGGTAGCCAGTCAGTAGCTCTCTATCACCTACTATCCACGCTACGAGACTGACTGTAACTCTTATAACGCACCCACAGCAAAAAGAAAAGCTTTAAATATTTTATAATATCGCGTGAACTCGAACCTGGCTCGCCAACTATGAAACTCAAATCTCTACCATTGGGCATTAACATATAGACAATAGATTAAACGAACGTAGAGAAATGAAAATCTTAACACAACCACAATACTTAAAGAAAATGTACAACACGGTAGTTTCAAGAATAAAGGTCAAGTGGTAGAAAAAGAGGGTATTTTTAGTTCAGTCATCACTCTTCTAGTTCTAAATCAGAAGTTGTTTTTGTATTTTTAATAACCAACCGATTCGAATGTAGCTATGTACTCATGAAAGAACGTACCATAATTACAACCAATTCAAACGTAGCTATGTACTCGTGAAAGAACCTACCATAACTACAACCGATTCAAATGTAGCTATGTACTCATGAAAGAACCTACCATAACTATAACCGATTCAAATGTAGCTATGTGCTCATGAAAGAACCTACCATAACTAGATTTAGCTGAATACAGGCACATCTCTAACCCATATGAGAATTTAATAAAGTCAAGAGTTTCAAATGTAGAACACTTAAATAGAAAGGTCAAGCGTCTCACGTGTAGAACACTTAAGTAGAAAAGTCAAGCGTCTGATGTGTAGAACATTCAGGTCGAACAATCAAGCGTTTCAGGTGTAGATTGTTTGTTTTTGAATTTCGCGCAAAGCTACAGGAGAACTATCTGCGCTAGCCGTCCTAATTTAGCAATGCAAGACTAGAGGGAAAGCAGCTAGTTATCACCACCCACCGCCAACACTTGAGCTACTCTTTTACCAACGAATAGTGAGATTTACCGTCACATTATAACGCCCCCATGGCTGAAAGTGTGAGCATGTTTGGTGGGACAGGGATTCGAACCCGCGACCCTCAGATTGTGAGTTGAGCGCCCTAAGCACTTGGCCATACCGAGCCATTTCAAGTGTAGAACACTTAGGTCAAACAGTCAAGAGTTTCAAGTGTAATAACACTTAGGTCGAACACTCAAGAGCTTCAAGTATAGAACACTTAGGTCGCACTGGCCCACATATAACAGTTAATTTAGATTGGCGTCCGCTATAGAGACTATACACCCAGGACTATTGTTTACATGCAATCAGTAACAGATTTTCTGATTCCCGACTAAAGTATTCCAACTTTAACTAACATTTTTAAAAAGTTATTTTAGGTATGATAGCTTCACTCAAGCAAAATTGAAATTAAATTGTGTACTCCATATAAATATTCCTTGTGGACTTATGAAAATGGTTTAAGATATACAAAAAGATACAACTCAAAAACACAAAAATGGCATAAAAAATAAAAAAATTGTACATTTGAAATGTAATACTTACACTTATCAGTACAATCAAACGGTATATAATAAAAAACGTCAAGAGAAGCAACTGTCACTACAAATAAAATAATCATTAAACCAGTGTGTTGTTTTATAGCAAAACCACATATTGCTACCTCAAACCCCCATCAAACCACTATTTTAGCGTTGTAAGCCCGTAAACTTACCGCTCTTCCACCGGGGGACATATACTAGACATAATGTAAGATACAGTGACTTGAAAATTAAACTGAACTGAATTAAGAAAGAAGAGCCAATCAACTGAGACCCATAAATTGATTAACTTAAATAGCATTATAGTGACGTAACCTGAAAAGATAAATTAAAAGTAAAATATATAAAATATTATAAGAGCTTATTACAAAAAAATTTCATTGATCATACATAAAAGGTATGCTACAAATCAAATAAAAAAAATCGCGAAATAGGCTTACAAGTTTAACTGCAATAATATACATATATGCAAACTCCTGGAAAAAACTAGTCCTTAACCTAGTGTATCCTTCACCATCAATGATACATTTCATGACATATAAGATACAAAACCAATATTACATTTGCAAAGCATTTTACATTATAATTAAATAATTGTAAGTTAGGAATACGCATACAGGTAAATCAAATGAACTGACAAATTAGGAAATAACTACAATAAGGAAATGAAGAAAAACCAAGTAATAAGGAATAATCAATAATGAATTATTTATATATTTACATTGCAATAATGTTACTTTCAGTGGTTAGGAGGAGGCTCCTATGGCTGCAATCCGACCTCTTACCTTTCATCTCTACCTGCTGTATAAGATATTGGATTTTCTGTAGGTCTTTGTTGGAGCAGATCAATTACTTCTACATCTAGCACAAGTCTAAAGTCACATGGATGATGTTTCGTGTCCCTGATACCAATGTGACGAAAAAGTGCACATGTTTCCATCCTGTGACAAGCCTGGACTTGGAAATGCCCGATCTAGTGATATCAGGTATGAATCGGCCAGTACTATGACCAGTGGTGACTTTGAAATATCGGTTGTATTTATTGGGAGTGACAGGTTTTGTATATTCCTGATTAGAATATTTGCCTCAATGGTCATAGTAGTTTATGGTGAGAGATGGAATAATTCCTGCAGCAGTCGTCTTTCAGGCCTTATTTGTTTCACCATTGACTAGAAGGTTTATTTTCCTTTTCTGGCCGTACGTGGTCAAACGTACATATAATGCGTAGAATTTTGTTGGTGGTGTATTTACCCAGTAACACTGCAAAGCGTTTCTTGGGCCACATGATCTAATGTTTTTATTATTATTAGAGATTTAACCATATCTCATTCTGATGACATCTTCTCATGGTACGTACACAATTTGGCCATAAACCATGTGTTCTCTGTCGCTGTTTTATCAGATGATGGTAGTCGACATCTAGCCATACTCTTGGTTTATGTTGATCACATCCTCTAACTTAGCAGTAGTATAGTAAAAGTTGATAAAAGAAAAATGAATGGACACGGTAATCAGAATCTGACCTAGTACAGTACAGTGATAAGATGAAATTCAGACACGGCATCAACATTTATTTGTAGTTAACTCTATGGTCTAACTAGATAAGTAGTTAATAAGATCCTGCTGATAACAAGAGAATAGAAGATATTGATGGTGAAGAATAATGTAAAGAAAAGATAATTAAATGATTTACATAGAACAAAAAAAGTTAAAATAATCCAGATACAGAAATGTTTCCTAAACAGAAATAAGATAAAATTGAGCAAAAAATAATTAACTTAGAGAAAACAAATAACCGAAATGCAAACTGAAATTACAATGTTCAAATTAACCGAATTTAAGAAAAACTGAAAATTAGAAGGAGTCCATTACGTAAGAAGGGATACAATATGGTTGATTTGAAAACAAAGACAAGGAAAAAACTTTCTAGTCAACCTGTACTCTTCTGACTCTAAATCTAAAATCTTTTGATATCAACGAACCTATGAAAAGTGGGCCAGTCACAATCAAGTTGACCTGTAAACAAATCTTATGATCTAGTCATTGTCCTACTGTAACTGTTAGAAAATGTATTCCGAGTATAATTGCATTAACTATAGTGCTTCTAATATATATCCTCAAGCATCGTGAAAAATTCATTGCTTTGTATGAGTATTTTTAACGTTTGATCACAAGTGAACATAATTAATATCATTCAGATCTGTTTTTTCACTGTTAAAAACGTATCTTAAATCAAAAAATAAGATTTTATAGTTTCATAACACTTAATAAGTATATGTATTTCTGCCTAAAGCACAGTTAAACAAACAAAATCTACAGGCTACACAAACACATTTGTCCTCGACATTATAAGCAAATATCCTTACACTTTAATACCTAGATGCATTAAGGTACTTGTTACAACACTTCAACATTCCTATTTCTGTACAGTTGAAGCCTAATTCTCAACGCTTAACACTCTCATTGACTATATATTATTGAAAAGTTGTTTATAACTTTTTTTACATAAATTGCTCATACATACAACTGTATTCTTTGTTTGTTTTAGAGCCACATTGTATTATGTGTTGTGTCCACTGCAGGGGAATCGAACCCCTGATTCTAGCGTTGTAACTCCGTAAACACACCATTGATCCACCGGGGACAACTGTATGGATGATGAAGCTTACAAACAGAAATTATCCTCATCATTGCTCATGGCTTGAGCTTTATAAACACTGATGAGTATTACCTTCCTCTTTATGTTTATTTTGGTTTACGTTTAACTATGGTCAATCTAAACCATACCTTATGGACAGAACTATACTTAAGCTTTTGTCTTACATAACACTAGTTTTTACATGAACTGTTCAATGATAGCTATGAGTTTAAGAAATTATACCTTTCTTTTGTTTCGAAGAATCCCAGCATCTCGTGTCCCTTCTGCGTTGCCTGGAGCTTGAGCATCTTTCAGTTTCAAACCCATGCGACCATAAGCATAGCTGATAACGAACAGGGGAAGGAAGTACTGTAAAAATACTAAGATTGGACTATATGTTCTCCAGACCAATTTTGAAATGCCCACGTTGTTACAGAAGGGTTTGGTATTGTTCCCTGTTGTGGGGTCATACACATAGGTCACTCTTAGGGCCAAGGCGTAGGGTAGGCTTGCGGCAGCAGCAAATGCCCATATTCCCAGGATAATGAACTTTGCTCTCAGTTTTGTAGTTCTAGCTTTGAGAGGATACATAACGGCCCGAAACCGATCCAGAGCAATAGCCGTCAAAGTGAAGATACTGACATTCACAGACAAAGTCTGGACAAAGGGACAGAACGCACACATGAATTCGGGTAAAACCCAACGCTGTAACAACGCCGCTTGAAATTGAAAAGGAATAGAAAATAGACCAATAATGATGTCCGCGCTGGCCAAGTTTGCGATAAAAAAGTTTGTCACTGTCTGCATACGGAGGCTAGTAGCTACAATCCATAACACACAAAGATTTCCCATCACTGCCAGCAAGGACACGGTCCCGTAACAAACTGACAACAAGCTGATGATGCCCACAGGTACATTGTAAATTTCTACAACTGTTTGTTGCTGAAGGGACATGTTTTCAGCATTAAGATTATTGTTTTCAGGGTTGTCGGTTACGCCACTGCTTAAAATAGTTATCTCCATGGGTAAGTTGAGAGAATTCCTGGTGGAATTGCTCAAGTAAGTTTGGGGTCCTCTGTGATCAGATCTTTAGGTTTTACTAGTTATCTTGTCCGTTTCCGACTTTATCGTTTGCTGTTGTTGTTATTTTCATAGAGATGAAACCTTTTGATTCTACTTTTCATTCAGATCAACTGATTCAAAGTTTCCTTTAACGTTTCTAAATATGATTCGATTGTTTGATGACGCATGCACACTGCGACCTGCGTGCACGCAACGTATGTGACACTCGTGGCCGCGTGATTTAAGCAGTAGTAGCAGCTGTATGCGGCACGATATGTCTCATGAAAACCCGGGAGGGGTGGGGAAGGGGGGATCGATCGCTATTAGTAGATGAAGGAGAAATTCAAAATTTACTAAAAACCTTTAGTTTGAGATAAGTGTAGTTTATACACTTGAAGGTAGCGCTGTTATTTTATTTTATTTAAAAAATGTTGAAATTGGTAAGTACTTCGTAAGTAGAAGAGTTTTATTTTTCGAAAGTAGGTGTTTACATTTGCTTACAAGATAAGATATCACAAACATTGTTACGCATAATAAGAATCACATATTTTGTTAGTTTATAGTTAAGCACAAAGGTACACAATGGTTTGTTTGTGCTGCGCCCACCACGGGTATCGAAACCCGGTTTTTAGCGTCATAAGCTGTCAGGTTTACTGTTGTTCCACTGGGGGTCAAATCAAGCACAAAATCAAAGTTTATGTGTTTGGTTGATAGCCCACTACTAATTAAAAAATTGAAAATAAACGAAGATGACATTTAGGAACAAATTTCCCTTTACACTCACATAAACATAGATAAGGAATGTAAACATAATTCGGCAGGTAAGGTTGTAAAGAAAAACATAAATCATTTAGATGTTTAAATTAAATGACAGGTACTTGGCGGTCGAATCATTTTAAGTGAATTTAAACTACGAATTGAGGAGTTACGTGCCTATTAGAAGATGAATGTGGTGTTTTTCGCGTCAGAGGTAATTTTACGAGTATACATAAAATCAGGGGTTCGAATCTCCATGGTGGACAGAGAGTAGTTAACCATTTGTAACATGGCGCTAAAACAAACAAATATGTGCACTCTTTTTATAACTAAGTGGTTGCTAGTTACAAGTTTTGACGACTATTTTGGTGCACAATTTATTTAGTATTTAGTGTTATCGAGAGAACATTTTATACAGGTAAGTAAAAGTGTAGTAAAAACAGCTCATTGAAGAACTCCAGCTTCTGGGATATGATACGCTGGATTATTATGTTAATAAAGTATTCTGAAGTGTTGAACATGGCCTGGTTTGTTGCTTTGCGTGTTGTTCATTGCGCTTTTATTTCAGAACTGTTGATATTTGTTGCCTGGTCATTAAAGATGATTATTATACTCATAATGGAAAGGTTTACTATCAGAAACGTTACTAGGAAAGGTACTCTACGCAGAGGTTATATTGAAACAATTTTGAGTATGCAAATCAGTAAGTCATGTGACAAACACGCCGATATTAAGTCGCGGTCGAACGATATTTATCACAACTATATTTTTACATTGTCTGGCGTTTTGTAAGTATTATAATATCACCTAACTTGATCGCTTTTTGGAAGGATATGTAAAACCCCACTTCGACGGAAATGTTTCAAACACTCAATCATAAAAATGTGTTTAGATTCAGGGTTTAGAATTTCCAAGACGGGAATATCCTTTGTATTTAATGGCGTTGGAAAAACAGTGGTATGTGAAGCAACATTCATACCCAAACAGTAGGACGTATAGTGTGGCATTTTGTAACAGGTGAGAATCCATGAACATAAGGATTAGTGGCAAAAGTCTATTATATGCCCCAGGCAACAGTACGTAACTTAATCAAAAGGTTTGGTTGTTTGTAATTAAGCACAAAACAACACAATGGGCTATCTCTGCTGCCCACCACGGATATCGAAACCCGGTTTTTAGCGTTATAAGTCTCAGACGTGCCGCTCTGTCACTAGGGGGCTAATCAAGAAGGGTCTTCGTCTATATAAAAAGTGACACAAAGCGGATGTACATAAGTTGATTCCACGACACATCCAATACAGAAAGACCAAATGAAGAAAGCTATGTGAGCGGTTTCTAACCGCAAAAAAAAAAGGGCATCACGTGGTCATAATTGACGAAGCACATGGGTATACTTATAGCAAGTGTGGTGCAACTTTCTACAATTCGGTGGATGTAAAAAACACCAAAACGGGTACACAACATTTTTTTTCTTTGAATGGATTACTGATCACTGCTAGAAACGGCGTAAGGATCAAGTTAAAGATCAGAAGGTGACATTATATTAATGTTCTGTACCTTTTGTACCACATCGTTTTGCAAGTTTCGTAGGGAAACAAGGCCAACAGGGGATGGTTCATCAGGATAATTCTTCAAGCCATACTTCTTATTCAACAGTCCCATATTTCAAGCAGCTGCAAAATGAATAATATTTTCACGTTATTTCGTAGGAATATATACTGGTTAAGTCGCCGGATGCAGAAAATATGGTTTTCTGTTTAATCATACACTAAATGAAATATTGAAGGCAAGAAAGTAATGATGTGCTTTAGACGTGACTTAAAACGAAGGCTTCTGCTGGTGGATACGGTAAAACAAACTATTAGCAATATTTAAAAGGTGGTTTCTACTATGGTTGACCCATCCTAATGGTAAACTATTAGCAATATTTAAAAAGTGGTTGCCACTATGGTTGACCCATCCCAATGGTAAACTATTAGCAATATTTTAAAGGTGGTTGCCACTATGGTTGACCCATCCTAATGGTAAACTACTAGCAATATTTAAAAGGTGGTTGCTACTATGGTTGACCCATCCTAATGGTAAACTATTAGCAATATTTAAAAGGTGGTTGCTACTATGGTTGACCCATCCTAATGGTAAATTTTGATTCCACTTATATCGTCAGTAGTTTAGATAAAATGTAAATGACGGCTATAATTATTTTGGTTAGACTAGACTGAAGTGACAGTAATATCATAAACCATTCGGGTAGGTAGATTACAGTTTAACATATTTTTGACGAGTCGTTATATCAATATATCGTGTGTTTGGCTTTCTGTTTTTCTTATACAGATTAAATCTTTTGGAGTTTAATTCTTTACGTTAATTCTTCTCATCTATGTATGATATTATAATGATTCGAGTAACCTTCTACCGACATGGTTAGTTGACTAGGTTAACCTTCTACCGACATGGTTAGTTGACTAGGTTAACCTTCTACCGGCATGGTTAGTTGACTAGGTTAACCTTCTATCAACATGGTTAGTTGACTAGGTTAACCTTCTACCGGCATGGTCAGTTGACTAGGGTGCTCGAATTCTACCGGCATGGTTAGTTGACTAGGGTGCTCGACTTCTACCGACATGGTTAGTTGACTAGGTTAACCTTCTACCGACATGGTTAGTTGACTAGGTTAACCTTCTACCGGCATGGTTAGTTGACTAGGGTGCTCGACTTCTACCGACATGGTTAGTTGACTAGGGTGCTCGACTTCTACCGGCATGGTTAGTTGACTAGGGTGCTCGACTTCTACCGGCATGGTTAGTTGACTAGGGTGCTCCCACCCAACATGTTCGCCCTTTCAGCAGTGTGGACGTTATAATGTGACGGTCAATACCACTGCTAAATTAGGAAAGGGTAGCTTTGCGCGATCTTCAAGACAAACCTACTAATTCCTTGCTATGCCACAGTAAACATCACTAATTAAACTATTGTACATTTTAAGTACTTTATACGTTAATAGACATCAAACATTATGTATTTTACATTTTAACATGATATATATATTAATCGACATCAAACATCGACCAGTATTTATTTAAAAGCATATTTAGCGTATAGACAAATGTGAATATTAAATTCAAATCCTAAAAATTAAAAGTTTTTACTCTAATAATAAGTCCATGCATCCATTTGGATTGCATATAACTGCTTATTAAAAATTATTCATGTTTTATCTTTTCATGCCATCATACGTGAACAAGTTATGAGGCCCCCCAGTGGCGCAGCGGTATGTCTGCGGATTTACAACGCTAGAAACCGGGTTTCGATAATTGTGGTGGGCAGAGCACAGATAGCCCTTTGCGTAGCTTTGTGCTTAACTCGAAACAAACAAACAAGTTATGAGATAAATTTAAAAGTTTTTTTTTGCATAATATTACGTTTAATAATTAGTTTCACCGAACAGTTATACGTTTGTTTTAGTAATCAAGTTTTATTATTCACCTTCTTCGGTTACATAAGTATTAGTTTCAACCGATTTTTTCTTTTAGTTATTTAAATGTTTAACGAGATAGATTTGCTTTCAATTAATAACATGCAGTTTTTCATGTTTCTTTCAAATTCATGTTTATAAACTTGTATCGTAGATTACAGTGGCTTTGATTATGTTGATCAAACAAAATGTTGACGTATTAGATACTTTAGGATTACACTGAATGAATGAAGAAAAACATTCTCTATAATACGTTTTAATAAGTTTCATTTAACAAAACGTTGACGTAATAAATATATAACACTCAAGTGAATATAAATAAATATATATGTCCTGAACACATTAGCATCTGTTCACTTTAAATGATGGGAAGTTTGATCGATTGCACGTTTTAGGATCACATTAAAAGAAAAGATCTGTTGTACATTGGAACCATTTTGATTGAATTAAGTTTTGATCTATGAGATACCTTAGGACCTTATCTTAAGACTATACTGTTAAAAGATAAAGCTTTTTCTCCTCCGAAAACGTTCAAATGATCTGATTGGACAGTTTGTGTCCAGCTGATATCGTGAAATTACATTTCTTTGCGGTAAGTGCACTCACTGTTCAGCGCTAACTGATAACTTTTTTGTTAACATCACCTCTACATGAAATATTAGATAAGTTCACTTCT